GGTTACTAAAACCAGTGGCGCGGGAACCGGGAGGGGGGGGCTGCGGGGGCTGAGCCCCCAGCCGAAAAGCTGGGGGGGGGGCTCGTAATGTATTTGAGCCCCCCCCCCCCAGCTGGAGGAATCGAAATCGGAAATCTACCAACATAATTTCATAGATTCATACATAGGCGCGGGAACCGGGGAGGGGGCAGTGGGGGAAGCTTGCCCCCACAATTCTGCGGCCGTGGGGGCGGTCCACACAACTTTTCATGAGGCCAGGAACCGTTGGGCAGCTTGTCCTTCCCAAATTAGGGGTTTTGGGTCACATAGGAAGAAAGCATGTAAGTGAAAAATCCACCTCTTTCACTGGCTCGGCAACTCATTTGACAGATTAAAACCTTTACTCCAGGTTGCCAAAACGGTAGGGGAGAGTGGGGTAAGATGCCCAGGGTGGGAAAGACGCCCCACCCCCTCTAGCGGCGAAACAAAGAATCGAACCTGGAAATTAATGTTCTTAGCGTAAAGCGGAAGCCTGCCTTGTTAACTGCACAAAAATTTGCGAAGCTCAGTTGGGCAACGGCTGGCTGGTGATTGCATGTTTTTTATTTGCTGCTTTCAAAAAATATTTTGGTGTCAAAACATTGTAAATATCAAAGAAGGTAGATAATTTTTGCGTCCCTTGCTATAGTCGTGATACATTGACATGCGTGTACTGTGTCCCAAACAGTTTGTTTCAGGGTGTAGTTGTATGGCTAACAAATTGTGCTGATTTAATATTACTTCGGTACCTTCGGGTAAGATGCCCCCTGTCCTGATGGGGAAAGACGCCCCCCTAAATCCCTAGGCTGTCCTTCAAGCAGCCCGTCAAATCATTTATTACATACTTGTAATGAGAGACAAAAGCCGATCTGGGACTATTGAGAGTCCAGTACGGTCGGGTGCTCCCCATGCCGGTCTCCCGGCCCACACAGCGACTTTTTGGGCGGCACCTGACTCTGAGAGTCCTCACGACGGCCTCTGGGCCCCATTATTGGCTCCAGGGCCCCTCACGACATCCTTTGAGGGCTCCCACGTTGGCTCCACGGGCAGCGCTGGCATCTGAGGTCCCCACGATGGGCTCGAGGGCCCTCAAGCATCATGAAGACCTATAAAGGCCCCACATTGGTCTCCGAACGCCACCACGGAGGCTTGTTTGGCCGCGCTGGACTATGATGGCCCCAACGATGACCTTTGAAGCCCCTTACGACTACTTTTGAGGGCCCTTACGATGACGCTTGGTGTCTTCTGCAGGCTCGAAGGGACAACTGATTCGTTCAGGCGATTCACGTGCCCATTTATGTCACTTATAGTGCAGGGGGCATCTTCCCCAACCTCAGGGGGCGTCTTCCCCACCCTGGGGTAAGATGCCCCCTTTCACTTCTTCAGGAAAATGCTTAATAGCAAAAAAAGTTATCATATTTCAGGCACGTAAGTGTGATATTTTTGGAGAAACATGATGTCGGCTTCCGTTGAAACTCCAAGTTTTTGCTTTCCGATCGTCATTTTCGAATAATATATGACAAAGCAAAACCCTGGGCATCTTTCCCCACTCTCCCCTAGTTTCTTCACTCAGCTTAGACGGAATGCCTCACTTTTTGCATTTATTCGTTTTTTTTTGTTGTTGTTGTTGAAAAGACCAAAGTCTGAAAAATAAGTGGCCTAAAACCGGTGAGAAAACTAGATTTGGGGGTACCCTAGGTTGATCTCTATTATGGTTCAGCCCCCCCCCCCCCCAGTCTGGAAGAAGTTCTCGCGCCGCTGACTAAAACGACTCTGATCACAAAAGTAGTTACTAGGAAGGCTTTCTAAACCATTTTTATTTAGTTCCTCGTTATAGGCGTAAGAAGTGTAAGTCTGAACGGGGGGGGCATACTTGTACTGAATGCCCTCCCCAGGCTCCTGTCGGGGGGGGGGGCATATGCCCCTAATGCCCCCCCCTGGATCCGCCAGTGTTTAGGTAGGTGATGGAATGAACAATGATGACACCTGTGTTATAACGAACGCTAATCGTAACACAAATAAAAAACACATCAGTCCAGCACCTCGCTAAAAAATGCACGGTTCTTTCGAGCATCTCGGCAAAAAGAATCCAATCAAAGCTTACAAACATTCTGAATTAGTCCGGCAGATTTATTATACCGTGCCCGTCGCGCCTTTTCTGGCGCTCGGCGCGCTCCCAGGGGACCTGCACGCCAGTCTCGCCAGTCTCGACCTAACAGACAAGCATTGATCTGGACGGCGGGGCGAGAGGGCCCTGCACGGTGAAGGCTCGGTTCCCAGACACCGGAGGATGTATGGAACGAGCTGTATTAGCTGGCTCGGACGCCACGCAAGGCCATTACGCGCTGTCCATTCACCAGGGGGAAGGTGCCAATAACCATTGGAGAATCAATTATGTCGGCTGTATGCGGTCATCAACATTTTTCACGGTTGTACATAGATTGCACGAAAGACCGTTCATTAGTGGCTAACAAAACGCAGCGGGAGAAAACTGATAGCTGCCGTGAAATTCATCACGAAAATATGTTGTGGTGCGTTATTGGCAATAGCTCATCGACGATATAACAAGCTATAAGATAGCTACCATGATACTCAACCAGCGTTCATTGCCAGTCCCTTCACCTTGCAGCCTGTTCCTCGCAGCCCAGCCCAAACAACAAGATGGTGGGCACTGGGCAGCATTACCTGTTTCAGTGACAAGCAACTCCCGTGAATTGGTCTCGAACCTTAGCAGATGATGGCCGAAAAAAAAATACATCTTATCAAAGTAACAACAGAGCATGTTCAATGTTAATTGTTCATCACATAGACGGCGGAACGGGGAGGGCACCGTGCCCCCCTTTGATTTACGCATTTTAACTTTAACATTAGCCCTATGGGCGTTGCGTGGAAAGAACTGGACCAAAAGTCGGCAGTGCCCCCCCCCCCCCCCCCCTTAATTGAAGTTGTTCCGCCACCACTGGTTCACCATGCAATTTTTTTATTCCTGGTCTGTCTACCTACATCAATGCTTTTTTCTATCTTAACGTCAGCGATGACCGAAACACATGCAAATTAGGTTAGACCGAGATTTATTACCCATATTTCATTGTTGCGCTGTGGCATTGCCAACATTGTTTAAAAAAAAAAAACACGTATGCACCTGACATATTGCACAAACCGAGTTCGCGACATTTGACATTAGCCTTCCGTTGACACTCCGGGGACGCAATATGGGCTTATGCTGGAACAACAGCCGCTGAGTCCTTTTGCTCTTGCTCTTTCAGGGACATTTGATACCTGCAAATGATGGGGAAATGTCAATAAATTCGATGGCGTAGTTCTGCTACACTCAGCCAACTTGTGTAAACTAAATTTATGTAAACTAAGTTCGTTGAAGGGATATGAGGACGTGTCATAGTGGACACTCAAAACCTTGCCTCTTCCCTGCTTTCTCAGCTAATGATAAGAATATTGGGTTCTTGACATTCCTTATTTTTATAAAAAAAGAAGTTATAATTGAGGCAACGTTTCTGGGAAATATCGAATATTGCTCCACTAGCCCGATTCCTGTGCGTTTCTGGGATAGTAAGTACACAGCATCACATTTGGTATCATGCCGCCACGGCTCATCATATATGGTGTGATGATCCTATACCAGCGAGGTGTCACATGACATGACGCCCCTAACGTGGTGGCGCGGTGGAGCAGCCATAATTTTGTAATCACTCATCCTCCGACAGCGACACGGGTCTTTGTCACCTGAGCCCGGGCGACATTAGCACCGCGCTGTGTCGCTGCCATAAAGTGTGGCGCGGTGTCGATGTGCTTTACACACACCACATAAGTTGGTGTAAGAAACTACAGCGATACGTACTTATTGAAATTCCCGTAATGGTGGTTTGCAACAGGCTGTAAATGTTCCTATGACACGTAAGATAGCCGACACGACAAAAGAATATCGCTACAAGTGAACTTGCTGCCTCATAGCATCGAATATAGTGCTCCAATAAACATACATTAACCGACCCGTAACAAAACATAGTGAACTCCAACAATAATGCTAATCAGGGAAGTGCTCCCTTGTCAGCCTAGACATTATGTGGCCGATGGTTTGCCTTATAACTTCCCTTTATGTGTAGTTCCAAGTACATATGTGGCCGATGGTTTGCCTTATAACTTCCCTTTATGTGTAGTTCCAAGTACAGACACCCATTGCATTAACAGCTCCAGCGTTAATATGTATAAGGTATCGATGCTATGTTGGGAAAGAGGTTGCAACGGTGTCAAGCTGGATGCAAGTTTATGAACTTACGTCACACAGCACATATGACATAGCCACACCAACTTGTTATCCCTATATGCCTACTATGAAAACTCGATAGTTCCTGTCATTTAGTTATTTGTCCGTTGTTATCAACCTTCTCTTTATTTTGTGTCTATCAGTTATCACTTACCTCAACACTTTGGCCAGTTGGAATGTACCGGAGAGCCCGACGAAGAAATTGACGGCGAAGAGGCTCCAGTTCTTTGGAATGATGACCAGCGAGTACCTGCGGAGCAATGGGACAAGCTTCGTCAGACAACTGAGAGCGGGGTTCTTCAGACGAGATGGGGTGTGAAGTTAAGACGCGCCATGGATCAGAGTTCATCAGACGGCGCGGGGTATACGGTTAAGTTCATTAGAATGCAAGTTGGAAACTTTAACATTTCGTTATTTCAATCACTTCTCATCGCGTTTTTATTACCATGCTGTACAGTCGAACAAAATACATACCTACCTATGTAGGTATCACAGTTCACACCACGAAAGTCTTGATCTGATTGCAATTTGCATGGTTCTGGCACAGTTACAAACAAGAATTACAGTTTGCTTATTACTCGGAGGCGGTGCCGACTCAGAAACGACATAGCATCGTCCGTCAAGTCCTGCCGCAATTCTCTCTCACCCACCGGGTAGTGATCGGCCCTTGTTACCGTTGGGCACTAACACCGGTACCGAAGAGGTACCGTCACGGTACCGTCGTACCTCCGCCGGCAGTGACACTGACCCGACCGAACGTCCGGGTCAATCGACGGGCCACTAAGCATGCTCGAGGGCTGCGGATATGTAAAGCTCACGGATGCAGTGCACTTGGTGTTGGGGAAACGTATCAACCAGCAGTGATTGAATGAAAGGACAGTTAGTCGTTTGTCCGTGACAGAACTTCGACGGTCTCTGATCGGGGAAAGAATGCTTCTTTATGTGACGGGTAGTCTCTCCACAAATACTGAAAGTCTGTGATCGGGAAGTGCTACAAGCCTGGCAGACTTCAAATTCTGGCAGGATCGGACAGTGAGCAATCTGTAACAATCTATGCCTATATCTAACTTATAACTATGTTATAGCGCGGACTGTGGAGTGTGGCGAAATTATGATCAAACTGACCTGACGGGCGACTGTGGTGCCACAGTATGGCAGGCGGTGCGAGTCAGTCTCACCTGGCCCAAATGTATCCAGTGCAGGCCAGGGACCCGGCCTGGCTAACGCTCATCTTCTCGGCAGGTCTGGTCAGGGTGTCTGAGAGGCCGGCCAGCACCAGACACTGGAGGGTAGAGAGGGGTGTCAGGAGAGAGAGAGAGACAGAGAGAGAGAGAGAGAGAGAGAGAGAGAGAGAGAGAGAGAGAGAGAGAGAGAGAGAGAGAGAGAGAGAGAGAGAGAGAGAGAGAGAGAGAGAGAGAGACAGAGAGAGACAGACAGAGACAGAGACAGAGAGGGAGAGAGAGACAGAGAGGGAGAGAGAGAGACAGAGACAGAGACAGAGACAGACAGACAGACAGACAGACACGGAGTCGGAGTCGGAGTCGGAGGCAGACAGAGACAGAGAGAGAAAGAGAGAGCCACAGAGGTGTAAAAGAGAACAGAGTGAAACGACAGAGCTATAAGCGAACGCCGAACGGTCAACGGCCGCCTACAAAGTATGATGCTAGCGGTCAATGGTCATTGTGTTTCAATAAAGGCATGTTCGGTAGACTGGGCAGAACACATGAAATGCACTGACATGCGTAGGTATTGCGCACTCGCAGAGAATAAGAACATGAAAGAAGATGATGTACATATAGATAGATACATAAAGGGACAGAAGGGGAAATAGAGGGGAAGAGAGGAGAGGGGGAGATAAAAAAGGAAATAGAAAGTCATAACAAACGTACCCATTTTTGCAGTGGTGACCAGAAGAAGACTGTTTTAGGTCCTGCAACAAGAAAAATATTTCATTTTTCATATTCAGTTTTGATGATTGCGAATTGCAACATTCTTTTCACATTTCTCACCAAAAGGTCCGCGTATCGCGTATAAGATAGGGATATCTAGCAAGTTATAAAGATACACAAAGGCTGCCCAAGTGATAATGAGGCAATGTCCTATTAGGGCATAAATCGCGTGCTTCTGACTCGTATTCGCCTGTGCTCAGCCGCAATGGGCCGGTAATGTGAAAAATAATGACTATTGGGGAAGGGTGCGATTTCTTGCTAGCACACTCTACACAAAGCATTTATAGCATCGTGTCTGGTATGTGCACTGTCGTGACAGAACCTGGATGGTATGTAAGCTGTGTAGCAGCCGTGATTGCCTGGTCATTTATGCAGCATGTAAGGGTGTTTGCCTCGGTGGACCTCACACTGATATGCTCCCTGCCCTGCCCGTCATTGGGAGAGGTCAATCTGCCAGTCCCTGGTCGCTCGACGCTCGTCGTGGTACCCAACCAACCAACAACACTGCTGCTGTTCAAAACCAACTATATCAGGCACAAAGTCTGGCCACAAACTCCGTGTCCATATTACAACTATGTAGTTTCAGAAGCAGCCAAACCAGGGGGAAAACAGCACCTTAGTAGTGTAGTTCCACACTTTCTTTCGTTGAAATGATCAGGTTCTCGAGGCGAAATTCAAGAAACGAGGCGGGCTTCGCAACTGAGTGGGCGTGTGGGCCTCGGACTGAAGCGAAGGGGGGGGGGGGGTTGGGGGGGGAGATGCAGGGTCGGGGGCCGGCGAACCGGGACAGCCGGTCTTCCATCCCCGCTCGGCGGCCGGCGGCGCCAGACACCAGACCAATTTGTCCGAATCAGACGCAAATGGCGCAGCGTTCCCTCTGGGAGTGAGCCGCGGGGCTGCTGCGCCGGGGGCAGTTCGGCAAACTCGCGGCCCGAGAAACCCGCCGCGGCGGCGGCCCGCCCGGAGCCCGCCGGGGCCCACCCGGACCCGGAGTCCGCCTAAAGTCCACTCGAGGTCATGCAGCCAGAGGCTTCGAGCGTTCGCAGGATCTTCAGATGTAAATAGCATTTCGAAGAATTATGTTTGAGAACGCTGCGTACCTACTACATTCGAAGAAAGTCGAAACACACGCGCAAATCGTGTGGACAGGTTTAACTTTTTAGCCTGCACGAAAACGGCCACCGATTTCACATCAGACATGCTTCCGGATCGAAGTTCATTTCCACTCGTAGATAACTTTCCCGGTCCCCTCTTGCAATACGTTACGAGCTCGACGGCGCATGACTATTGGCCATGCATTTATAACATTGGCTCAAGTACGTCCTAGAATTGTGCATGGTTGTGTGTAATGTGACCCATGGAGTAGGGGAAGTTGGGGGAACGCCGAATACTTTTTTCTGACGCCCGTAGCACGCAAGGTAGACAACATAAGCTATTCTTGTTGGCGTCATTCGAGAGGCCAGTCTTTTGTCTTTCAAACATACCAGGCGCATTTGATGAATTCGCATACCGTTAAGCGCAAAAACTAAAAATATCAAAGAACTGACTTTTTCGGCGTTGCCCCGGACTGCGGGGAAAGCCGAAAATGGGATAAATGATCTACGAGGAATGCAGACATTGATGTTTTGCCAATTTATCTCAAACTTTATCCAAAATTCATCAAAGCTGACACGCGTTTGAAGAGCTTGAGGACGCTTGGTGCACACTGGAAGTTATAATTGTGTGATATAATAAAAAAATGCTAGGTAAATCATTCCTTATAGCTAACAGGCCGTTGTGCCGGCTGAAAGTGTAATTTGTTTGACTAAAAATACGCGTTGCTATTCTACAGCAGTAAAGTCCACGTAGCGTGCTTTAACGTGCGTAATTGCACGTTTTCGGCATTACCCCAGCCAGCCATACTTTCATTTGCAGGCCCATAACTTTTAAACGTGCTGTATAAATTTCAAATAGGCAGCACACTTATGCAAAGACATGCTGAAGATTACTTGACCGAATTGGCCAGACAAACGGTAGCATAATGAGTAAGAAATGCAGCTTCAAAGGCGCATGTAGTACAAGGGAAACGTACCTTGAAAACGCTTTTGGCGCCCTCACAGCCGAAGTATTCCAAATGACAACTCGTAACAAACATGCGATAATTGTAGTCACTTAAGCTTCAGAGCATCACTGAGACGTGGCATCCATGTCGTACGGTTTTAGAAATATCTCGAATTTCGGCTTTGCCCCAACTCCGGCATTGCCCCAACTTCCCCTAAGAACGCCACAAAATTGTGAGTTGATAAGGTAGGGTGATAGGGTAGTTGATAGGGTAGACCCCCCCCCCCTCGGCCGAGGCGTACCTATGTATGTAGAAAACCAGTAGGTCCGGCGAGGGTTGATCCCTTATCTGCGCGCTAAAGAACATCCTGAATCACATTCGAATAGGTACGTACCGTACGTACCTATAAACAGTTCAAGATAAGACAATTGATAGGTAAATGAATGTAACAATCAGCAGCAATCATCCGGTAACCAAATTAATCAATCGGAAGTTGATAATCACCCGTGTGACGCGGTGTCTTACTCTCCATATAGCTGACTAGTGACCACTAAGCCTCACAATGCATCTGCGGCTGTCTGCCAAACATATTATGTCCTATTTTCTGTGTCGGCACAAGTCCGTATATAAACGGAGGGAAGCACCGTCGAATGCCTACGAACGCCGACGGCCAGTCTCGCCGGAAGGAGGTATTATGTCGCTGGCAGCAAATCCCTCGTGCCCACAGATTAGTTGAAGAATGAACATGCATTATTCATCGGAAAAGAATCCCGCATTACAATACCGGCACCGCTTCTGAACGGGATTCGGCTGCATGATATAAACGATGACAGAAGCCCGCTGTCCATTTCTTAGGCAATACAGATGAGCTTGTGAGCTTCGTTGATCGAGTTACAAAATTTTGCCTGGGTATGGAAAATAGTGCGGAATCGTGCATCATTTTATCACCGGGAGCGCATACCTGTACTGTTGGGGTGCTCCTAAGGGTATGGTGGGCAAAAAAGCACACAAAGATCGGAACAGCTGGAGCACAATTTAATTTGGTCTATAAGCTCATTCAGTCTCATGCAGAAAAGTGTCATCCATCGTGGCCTATGTGCATTTACTATCATTTGGGCGCATTCATGGCATTCAGGTAACATTCAGAACTATTCCACATCCACTTATTTATTCGTTCAGACAACATTCATTGTCATTCACGCTATCAAAATTATCGGACAAGATTAGCTGGATGTAAATAAAAAGGATATCTTTAGGAAAGGCAAAGTGCATTATAATGCACTTTGCATCATCCTAAACGATCTTAAACAGCTGTCGCCGGTAAAGCACCACCGGGGAGAAAACATGGTTTATGTCATTTTGTGTATTTCTTACATCATTTCGAAATTCCAATTGGCGGACTGATTCACCAATCGTCCGACGGTCTCGTTAAAAGGTCATACTTGTGTCCTGTCCAGTCGGTTGGCCATGCCCCTGCGTATCCGAGTCAACATTCGAGCTGATGACATGAAATGTACAAACAAAAACATGTTTTTAACCAACAGTCGTAGTAACAGTGTTGCATTTATGTTTCTTGTTAGTAAACATATGTAATATATACTGTTAACAATCAAATGTTGTATATATATATATAAATGTTAACAATCTTGTATGATATGTGCGAGCGGTGCGAGGCTGCGTTATCCGTGCTTTTGTCAGTTCCCGTCGTAATGCCCACTTGTTTGTGGTTGTCGGGTGAACCGAAAAATAAATAAATAATAAATAATACATTTTATGTATATTGCAATGCAATAGTACCTACTGCCAGAGTAGCGTCAGCAATCAAATGATGGATGGGATTGGCTTTTGTGAGACACGATGAGGGTAACTTTGCCAAAGTTACTTCACCGTCTAGTTACCTGATTGATTCTGAAAAAGGATAGGTAAAACTGAATTGAGTGAGCCACTTAAGGCTGGCACCCAACGGCTGGTCATTCCCATAGAGCTCAGCTAAACACGAACATGTGCAGTCTCTGTCTGTTCGCAGTATGATGCGCCAATAGCATCTCTCAGTTCTCATTCCTACAAGAAATCCGAAGCCCAATGTACATCAACTGAGTTATGGAAACATTCCCTTGTAAATTGGCAGCATATCTTCGGCATTGAACGCGACTGTCTCGACGCATACTCTTACTGTAATGCATGATTCCGTGTTCACTCAGGAATACTGTGAATGGCTTGATGTTTTCATGACGGGCCAAGTAATCGTATATGCATTGTATATGTTACAGTTATGCATCGTACGTGTATATGTGGATATTTACGTGCATGGTGAGTGGCCACACACCCACACTGATTGACACAGATACCGAGTGTGTGATTATGGGAGAGCGGGACACGATTTTATGGTTGCAAACCTTATCTTTAACATGCATATTGCATTACGAAAAAATGAACACACAACTGGCGATAAAACGAACACATTCGCTGGGCGCCCCAGTGTACATCCATACGTTTCGCTAAATATTTTTGCAGTGTGCGGTGTCTCAACGAAGTAGCGCATCGATGTTTCTCAACTGCTCAGATCATCTCAACAGTGCACTATTTTAGGCGATCGTTCCAGACGAACGTCATGTAGATATAATAAACATTGCCTGGCGGACAGATGATGTTTGACGCAAGTCAAAAGAACGCTGAACAGCCAAACTACCGGTAAAGCGCGAGGACAAAAACATTGTCAACGCCATTTATGATTTCACAAAACTTCACAAAGCCATTTTTAGAAACGTTATTTGTTCCAATCAAATAAGGTATACGACTATCTACATTTGAATGGAAGTGACTACTCTACTCTGACCGATATAAACTAGGCATGCAAAGCCTGCAATATAAATACTTCAATGTATTGCAATATTTGCCATCCTAAACAACTGCTGGCGATAAGCAAATTGAGGCGCACGGCCCGCTCAGTGTTCAGTGCCTAATGTGTCTGGGTGTGTCGCAACCATCATGCAAAATGTGGTGCATTGAGCACTGAATATAACTACAAAGTACCATGACATTGAGGGGGTGACGTCACGTTCAGCCTAATATTAACCACTACACGTGACGATCACGTGACAGAGATAGGCCTATCTGGACCAGCACACGTGATACCGGCGTGGCGACAGCATGTGCAATGTTGGCAATGTGCATTGTGCAGCGCCGCGGGCCGTCGCAATTCGTCTCACAACAAGGTGTGCGCCGCCCATGTGAGGCCTGAAGGGCAGGGCTTTATGGTCAACTGAAGTTGGTAAGGAAGCGGTGTACGTGCTCTCCGGCAGAAGTACCTATAAATAAATATTGAGAAATACACACACACGTGACTACCTTGTGTGGGTGATTTTGAATGCACGCTGGGACCTCCCACGGAATGTTGATGGGCGATGGCCTAACAAGGGACTCGCACGATAGCGGGGCGGGGCCGACCCGACCCTGCACTCCCCCACCCCCCCCCCACTCACCACATGGATGCTCCCAGAGGGGTCTCAGCCTGGCCGGCACCTTGGGGTCCCAGAAGGCGATGATACGCCGGTACAGGGGGGAGAAGAACGGCACGGTCATCGCGGCAGCACTACCCGCGTCGATCCGCGGCACACCACTCGCCGCGACCGCGAGACGCTCGTTCGCAGAGGTACACATCGGTGACGTCACGGGCGCCAAGGTCACCGCCCGGCCGAACCTGTCGGGCCTCTGCAGTCAGCTGGCCCCCGCGACGGGCGCATAACAAAACAAGGCCAGCTGAGGACCAAAGAGTCGTCGGATTTTGTACGGACTGCGGGGAGTGTCTGAGATACATAATTACCCGAAGCAATATCTGATAGAAAATATGTTTTCAACCGGCGTCGTGGTGGAGTTTGGAGAAAGTTATCTTTTGCGCCCATAAGTTTTTTTTCGCCGATGTGGCCAGGTTACCCATGGTCACGATTGCAAATGCGGCTGGCCACATCTAGGACGATGAGATGGTTTCCTTCACTCTAATAATTATCGTAATTTTAAACAATTCTTAACACTTTCAGAAACGCATGCATCGTGGTAGTGAAGTAGTCCGAGAGATTGCCAAGATTCAGTTCAAGATTTTTGAAAAGGTACAATAATAACAAAAAAAACGAAAATAGCTTCGAAAATATGCCAATTACCTATGGTATTGGCAGTCTAATGGCGTCCACGGCATGTCTTTAGTGTTTGCGATTTTATATGATTTTTTGCCGTTTTGCTGGGTCGGAAACACAGAAATCATGACGTCGCTAAAACTTCGATATCTTAAAAATTTCTGACCGATGTTTTAATTTTTCATTTTTTTTTTCTTCATAATGCCTAAGCTTCAATCAATTCCCCTACCCTAATGTGGCGCGCCTGTGGTGCGCCGTTATTCAGCTGGAGCACGGTGAAAAAGTGAGGGTGTTTACCCCCCCCCCGCAACTCGTGTATTAAACCTCTAAAGGTCATTGTCAAAACTTGACCCAGGTCTTGTGACCCTGAGGTAAAGTGTGGTCAGTAAAATGCATATTATTCGTTGCGTCTCGAAGAGCTGAAAATATGAGGACGTGGCTAAAGCTCATTTTTGTAAGAAGGTACGTCTTGGTGACCTTCGATGACGACACGTGACCTTACAGTTGTGTTTCAAATAGCAAGCAGTGCACAATCAAATAGCAACAGTTAACCCTCACATGTGTAGGGGGGGGATGGACCCCCTATGGTTTTTCGCAAATAACTCGCCCAAAAAGCGGCCGATCGCAACGAAACTTTCAGTACCCTCGAGTTGATCAATTTTACACCTACTCCGAAAATTTCATGACCCTGACTCAAGTGACCTTTGACCTGTGACCTATTTCTCGAGGCCATGTTTGGCCGGAATTGCGATTCGGCGTATGTCGGCTCGCATCAGCCGCGCGTTTGCAAGCCTTTCGTGGTTTCAAACGTTCAAACATGTCTTTCGATGTTGCTCCCATGCATTAGGGTGGATGTCAAGGTCACCTGAAGGTCAGGCCAGGTCATTCACTTTTGGTGACCTCGGTTTACTTTTTGAGTTTTACATGTTTCTAGGCTAGTTTTTGGAGCTGAATTCGAATTTAGGAACCCGTTTGAACATTAACGAAGTATTTTGGTGCCTTCGTAACATGTTACGAAGCTGTCAGAGGCGGTTGACACCTACTACGAATACCCGTCACGACCCCTACTGGTTGACCTGACCTGACCTGACCCGACCTGGTCTAAATGCTTAAAGACATCATCAGTGATCAAAACTAACACGATATTCGTGATCAGCACCCCGAAAACCCCCGTAGCAGCCACACTTTACGACCTCCTAACAGATCCCGATTTTCCCGACTTTTGGGTCATTGACGGGCTCGGTTATCTACAGGGTGTAACGAAATTATCCGGACATCTATTTTTTCGCCATATCTGCTCGCACAGTTTCTCTTTTAATGTCAGAAGCTGGAAAATTGGATGAATGCATACCTCTGGTCTGCTATACATCTGCTCTCAACTCAGCAGTGACCTGACCTTGCGAAATGACTCTTGCTCTGAGTAAGAATCGAGTCGCCGACGGGTTCATTTGATAGTTTTCGTTTAAGGCAGTGGAGAGAAAGGAGTACAGTCTCTCGTTTCGTAGTAAGGCTACGTGTTGATGGCATGGCGGCATGAGCCAGACGCTGGTCTGTCAGCAGCTGGACATCAGCAGCAGCCATATAGGACATCTGCCTGAGGCGTAATAAGCTGGGACTTGGTGGCAGACTCAGCCCGGCCTCGATCGCAAAAGGCGCCCTTTGCCAAGTGGTGAGGAGAGTTGTCAAGATAGCGACAATGAAACGGCACCAATTAATCCGCATACTGACTCGAATTCTTACCAAGGCAGATAATAAGAGGTCCCACATCATGATTCACCGTTACCCGCCATTTAGCTTGGTTTTACTGCCCTTCAAACTGGAAAAGACAATGAAATTGACGGGAAAACAACCAGTCCACCATATTTGGCTTCAGGCCAGGGCGTGTCCACTGGTCGAAGGAAGACACGAATGAGGTGACCTGGTCGGATGGGAAGCTGTTCGAGCTGCGATACCCGTTGAACCGTCAAATCGGCCATGTGTGGGCTGCCAGCAGCTCGAATGTGCCGGCCGTCGCCGGCGTCAAACATCCGGCCAAAATCCAGACCTGGAGCATGTTCAGCTGCTGTGTAATATTCAAGCTGTTCATGACGACACAGAAAACCACTATCAGTGACGAGTATTACCGGCGCAACATCCTGGCTAGCGATTGGTTGGAGCCACTCAACCAGACGGCACAGGATGGCTCGGTTTCTGAACGTGTACCGATGCCTGATTCAAGCCGCGCAGTCTTCTTACGGGGCGGCGCACCACCCTCAAGTCCCTAGCAGAATGAGAAGTGATGCCGAGAGGACCTTTTTGTTCTTCAGGGCTAAAGGGCTATGGCTTGGAAATAGTTCCCATGCAATTCCATCGATATTATGGACTATTGTCCATCAGGAGATGAATGAGGGGACACCCGCCACCAGCGGCGCCCAACTGCGGGCACAGGTTAGTAAGGCGCTACTCTATATGAAACCCACTGTGCTGGAAAATCCAGTGGCTGGAATGCTCCAAAAATGTGTACCTGCGCCCATATGAAAGGTGGCTATATATAATTCAAAAGGGAAAATATCAGAATGTCTTGCTTCTTAATTACAGCGCGAAGAAAGATGTCCGGATAATTTCGTTACACCCTGTACTGTGGCTCTGACACGGTGACAAGTGACAACGTTGTAAAACTTAATTTGAGGTCGATTCATTCAAACTGACCTGTTGACCTGCTCTTAAATGTAAGTCATTGCTCGCACATAACATGTTAACACTCGCCCGCACATGGGGGGGGCTGCAACCCCCCCCCCCCACCAGGTAGTTTTTCTGCTCTGCACTCAACATTTTTAGAGCTAGAAGTGTCGGATATTGGTGGTTGCCACCCCCCCCCCAGGTAGTTTTTCTGCTCTGCACTCAACATTTTTAGAGCTAGAAGTGTCGGATTTATTGGTGGTTGCCACCCCCCCCCCCCCCAGGTAGTTTTTCTGCTCTGCAGTCTGCACTCAACATTTTTAGAGCTATGTAGAAGTGTCGGATTGAACGGTTACGATCATGCATCTAAAAATTGTGATTTTGTCATTCCTTCAGGTTACAGCTTATGTCCTAGTACCTAGTTTGAACCTCGGGCTTTTGCATGAGGAAATCAGAGCAAACAGTCTGCTCATCTCGGAATTTTGATATCGGTGACCTAAAGTCAGGACAACTTTGCAGCCTCTCCATTATAGGGGGAAATTGAGCTGTTCTTCTTTTGGACGGAAACGCCACATACATGGGGAACGGGATGTAGGTAAAAATGACAAATAATCGGAAAATTACACCTGTCACCCCCTTTATGGGCCTGAGGTCATCTCGGGTCAGGAAACGTCTCCAACAGTTTGATCTTCAGTAAATTTAGATAGAAACACGCTGGAGCGGTGAAAACATCTTATATTTGTTCAGCTCAACGATACAAAACGGCTGATGTCAACATGACGTTTTCGGTGACCTCGACCTGAGGTCAAATTTTGTTGCTGGGCTCACCTTATAACGCGTCTTGATGAGAGAAACACGATGTCGGAAAAATCAACGTAATACGAGCATAGCGTCGAAATTTGTTGCAAAAACGTTTTTCGAAAAGACGTGAAATTCTGAGCATTTGCTTTAAGGAGGCTAAACAGTTGATCTTAGACTAAAAATGGGAGTATAATTCAGGAAAAAAACTTAGAGCTATAGAATGCGCTTTTCCGGGGTGATGTTGCTTTATTCGTTCTTGAGTTATGCGGCGATTAGTGGGAAATTGTCAAGATGGGGAAACAAAATTCGTGATAATTTTGCTTTTGGTGGCCCCCGGTGGCTTCAGCGATGACCTGATCAAAAACAATATCCGTCCTCCATTATTCTGGAAGATCTATAGCGAGCTATATCTTGCTTCTTTCCGGGTCTTTCTAGCTTTCTTACTTTCCGAGCTAATCTGGTGTGGCCAAATACGCCCCCCCCCCCCACCCTCCATTGCGAAGTCGGCCCGACCCCCACCCGGGCACGAGATGAAGTGCTAGAATGATACGGTTGAAACTGAGATGCATAATAGTAAGAGCTGGCATTCACCATCAAAGCCACTAAAGTAACAAGTCCAATCGCATTTACATACTTGTTAAATATGGGTTTACTTTATTCGTTTAAACAACAGCTTAAACACCTCGTTGAAGAACTTCATATACAATGATACAGATACCCTGCATGTTTGTGAGCATTCTTGGATAAGTAACTGCATCCGAGCCTTTTCAGTCCGCCGTCTGCAACTGTTTCGCCCTATATATTATGCAGCAACTAGCAATACTGACAGGTGACCTTATTCATGCCAATTACACACCAACAGCAAACACATGTTTCGATATCATAACAATAAACCCTGTCATTAACCTCCCGGTCCCAAACCACGGACCACCAGCGGCGGTGGCCGGTAGGGGTGAGTCGACGGGGCGGCGGCGGCGGCAGTGCGTAGGCGTCGGGGCTGCGGCGGCCGGCGCCCGCGGCGCCCACAAAGGGGCACCGGCCGCGCCCCCGCGCCGCCGTCGGCGATTGGTCGGCGCGCCGGCGCCGGGCTGCCATTGGCCGGTCGGCCGGGCGCGGGGGCGCCGCCGCGGCCGACCAGGCCGGGCCGGACCGACAGGGCCGTGCAGTGTCGGTCCGTCGCCCGTCCCGCCGCCCCGCCGCCGCCTGTCGCCCGCGCCCATGGCGTGCTGGGGCCTCGCCTGTCTGTTGTGGCTGGCCGCGTGCCAGGCGGCCACCGCCATCGACATCGCCCGCTTCTACGGCTACGGGCACGTGCCGGGCATCGCCAGTAAACGATCTGAAGGTGAGGAACCGGTGGAATGAGGGACGGCCACGGGGACTCAAAGGAAGTCGGTAACTCAGGTCAACCATACAGGCTTACCAGGCAGTACTGGATGACCAGGGACAACGGGCATTCTATGTCCTGCTAGTTCTTTAAAGGCTCGCACATTTTCGTGTAAAACACCGTCCAAGGGTTTCAATTTTGGGCTCTTGAGCTTGCAACGGTGGACATTCGATGACGTGATGACGAACCAAGTCACGGACACGAAAAAGACGTAATGATGTGAGCAAAGCTTCGTAGATCACAAACCCAGTTAACTATGGAAAATGTGGTGAAAATGGATTTGAACATATAAGTAAAGATAAAGTAACAAAAGATTGGTAATACGAGTATCTTTAAAGTTCTGTTTTGTATTTCTGCATTTGAACTTCAAACATGAAATAGCAGATTATTTGACTCAAAGAAAATTTGGATCATAGCTAAGGTGTGATCCTTTCGGCAGCACAAAGGTGTCACTCGACATAATAATCTCGGTTTAGAGCGCACACAGCATAAGCTTCAACAGGTCCTTCTTACATGCCAGCAGACGCTACCTAGCATTTCTTAATTGTGCATTTAATAATTTGATAGGAAGACAGTTCCAGACTAGAATAAAAATTAGACTTGCCGAAAAATTCTTATTTTCTTCGGAATGTCCCTTTAAAAAATTTTTTTAAACCTGCTGTAAGGAAGCCGCAAACCATCTAACTTATGACGGTGAAACAACTTTCAATATGCAACCAACGACAGGAAACAAGACATACCCGTTCCATAAAAGCTTGCCATACTGCCCATGGTTAATCATGATTGAACTCACTAGGGAAAAGTAGAAAATTAGGTATTTTGCAATTGATTCCATATTTATTCCTTTTCCTCTTCTTTTTCTCAGAAGCTAAGCCCGAGTGTTTTGAATGGGTGGACTTCATGGATGGCGAGTGCCAACTATAAATGAATTGTTACTTTCGCCTCTCTCTCTCTCTCTCTCTCTCTCTCTCTCTCTCCTCTCTCTCTCTCCTCTCTCTCTCTCTCCTTCTCTCTCTTTCTCTCTCTCTTTCTCTCTCTCTCTCTCTCTCCTCTCTCTCTCTCTCTCTCTCTCTCTCTCTCTCTCTCTCTCTCTCTCTCTCTCTCTCTCTCTCTCTCGTTTTTTCCAAGTAAACGACTATTCCAGTGCATCACACAATTATATACAAAAGTGGCTCCACTCTCTCGCACAAGCTCGACATGCTATAATTCACCACTACCGGATTCTATCTGCTTTGAAAACCATCAGCTCCAGAAACACCGAAGTCGCACCAAGTGATAGCCCATTCAATGCCATTTTATGATGTGGTACTCATGACTTCGTTGCATGCCCGACATCGTTCGTCCAGTACAATTTCCATGAAACTACCAAAGCGCACCTGACACAAAGACGCACGCTGCCTTACTTATACCAACGCCACGCGGCAGAGCTTCGGTTACATGCCCCGAACCTCGTACTTCCTTCAGCTCTTTGCTACTTTTCCTATTCATCCGGTGCACCTGAACCTTGAGATGTCCCCATATTGAGAAATCTAGGGGAGTGAAGTCCTTATACTGCTCGGACCATCCACCCGAGAGAGCAGCCTCCTCCAAAGCGCGTTCGCAGCCATGCACGGGTCGCGGCAGTCGTGTGTGTGCGTTTTCCCCGTTCTGCTGCATACTGGCTCTTGATCGGCCGAATATCTCCTCCAGTTTTTAAGTGTCGTCAAAATTTGAAAAGCTCTGCTGTGAACCGCTGGGCGTTGATTGTCTCGGCCATGGCCATCCTTATTCTTCAACCAACATGATCCAAATATCGTACCCTCTCAGGTGTCCTCTGGGCACCCTGTCGGCCACTTTGTGCCTCGTAAAGGGTTGCGACACTTCCCAATATCTATACCAACCCAAAATGCACTCTCACATTTTTGCTTTGGTTCCAAAACTTTTCATGATCCCAAGAATAATGTTTAAATCTTTCGCCTTATTTCTACACACAGAGAAAAAATCACCCCAAAAAATAGGGTACTACAGAGTACCGATTCTGCACTACTATTTCGGGTATGTTTACCTTAAAAATGCAGGTAATCCCATCCCAGTCGTGTCTTGCTACCACCATAATCAAGGTACCCGAATTCCATTACATCTTTTTCCTACTCTTGATTTTCCGTTCATTCGAAGACGCTTTTCAGGGTACACCGCTATTTGAGGTAACGCTACGCAATTATTACGGGTAGTAATACACTACTTTCGGGTTTTTGTACCATGCCCCAGGTTCATTTACCTCGTATTTTGGGGTAGTGTAACCTATTATGAGCGCATAAATATGGGTCGGATAACCCAATGTGGTGTAAATGTACGCCAATCGCTCTGCAGAGTGCCAAATCTGTACCATTTTTGCGGGTACCACGGTTCTGAGGGTTTCGTAACCAGGTGCTCGTATCCAGTGTCATCAGGTACTTGTACACCACGCGTCGGTTCTGCTACATTCCGCTACGCAGTTCACCGGAACAATCTGCTAAAATACGCACACCGCAGTATATCCCGCGCCCCGCTGGGCTATTCAGCCATACGCGCCCTGCTGGGGGGGGGGGGCAGATTCTGCCCCCCCCCCCTGTCTAACTTCCGAACCGATGGTCGTAGAAAGACGGGGAAAACGCCGGCCGGCGGACGCCGCCGGCCGGCGTTTGCCGGGACGGCCGGCGTTTCCAGCGATCTGTTTGGTCGAGCGCTTAGTTGGTAGGAAGCTGGTAGGCATTTTTGTAAATTGAAAAGTATGATGTTTTAAAATAATTTTCCTTTACAGAATCGCTTAAATGAATTATTCATTGAGAATAAAGGCGTCTTGCACGACAAAATATTTGTATTTCGTGTCGCTTAGTTGCGCCATCTGTTATATACCAACGTTGGTATATTCGTTATCCTAGCAGAGGTGGGGATGGAATCGAAAATTTTCGTTTTTTCTTGCGTCGCAAGCAATTTTAAAAAATCGTACTTGACTTTCCAAACACATGCATGTGTTGTCACATGTGACATGGTCATTTGGCTTTATTTCAGCCACACTCGTTTGCACTCACCTGGTGTCTGGTACTGTTCCTTGACGGCGTTTCTTGACATCCCAGTGCTGTTTCTTGTTGACTTGACGGCTTGGTGCCCTTGCAAAACACGATCCACCACCACACTCGACCGGGAAAGAAAGTCGCGCAGCTCACTTGCACAATAAAACGCGTGAAACGCCATTAGCACTCGCCGTGCGGCTCCCAGCCTCACACACACACCCATCACGCCGGCCACGGCGGCACAAACTGAAAGCCTGCGCGCCAAAACAGTCAAACGTGGAACGATGATTGGTGGAGAGCAACACCCTTCTGCGCATGCGCGACTTAGGTCACGCCCCCTGAGTTTCTGACAGCATCATGTAAAATTACTAACAAAAAGGTAACTCTACCTAAAAATAAGTAGTCAGAAAACCGCATTTAAGTACTTATACACCCTTATGAGTTGATGCATGTTACAGGTACCTGCTTTTCAGTGACAAGTAGTAAAAAAACATGCTGCCAGAGTAGCTCTATCACGACCGATTCTGATTTTTCGGGTAAAGATACCACTCTGTTTGTTAATGATACCCCGAATTTGCAGGGTACTGTGAACCTTGAAGGTACATTTACTAGTATGTTTGTAAAAAGAACCATTGGTGTACGGGAACCCCAAATAAATGGTGTGTAACTATTCCTATTTAGGTTTTCATACCTGAGAAATAAGGGTACTGGTACTCCTCATATGTAAAAAAATCCCATAGAGGGGTAATTATTTTTCTGTGTGTAGGACAGCCGCGTACTTAAATTTACTCATTCCTAAAAAGAAAATTTTTGATAATTATGATTTCTTTCTATGGGAGAAGAATTCTTCGACATTCCCTTCTAGAGGTAGGCATAAGGAAAAAGTGCCATTAACCATCTCGCACCTCCCACTGCGATTACGTCACCAGCATGTGGTTGAAAACCACTCTTCATTCTTAGCGGGACCCAATTTCGGCCGTGAGAAGGCCGCATGGTAGGCAGGGAGAGAGAGAGAGAGAGAGAGAGAGAGAGAGAGAGAGAGAGAGAGAGAGAGAGAGAGAGAGAGAGAGAGAGAGGGAGAGAGAGAGAAGAGAGAGAGGGAGGGAGGGAGAGAGAGAGAAGAGAGAGAGGGAGGGAGAGAGAGAGAGAGAGAGAGAGAGAGAGAGAGAGAGAGAGAGAGAGAGAGAGAGAGAGAGACCTGTCCATTGTGAGTGACTCATCGAACTCTGCACGTGCCCCGAATGAAGCGCTCGTTACGGTCGATTCGGTGTGCTGAGTTAGCGCAACGCGACCCGCTCCAACTTTTGGAGTGCAGTGAGAGGAAGGAGGTCCGCACTGCCGCTCCGCCGTCACCCTGCACTCACGTGCCGCGACCTTTCCACGTTCGCACGTGTCGGATTGAACGGTTACGGGAGCCTGGAACCAATCTGGGTGGCATTAGCGAAAACGTGAAATCTTTGAGGACTTGTTCGGGTGGAAGTAGGTGGATGTGACCATGCTGAAAAGCTTCATCTCTGATCTCGTCCTGTATTCCTGACAGTGCTAGCGGTTCGAATGGAGTAACAGGGCTCTACCTACTAAAAGGAAAATGTTTCAGAAGTACATGTAATAATTAACTATACATTTTTTACCATGAAATCACTTACACGAATTTTAGGTGTCTTATACGAGCTTCTTACCTATATTTGTGCTTTAGGCTACTTTTTAATATCTAATAAAACACATTAATATTCATCAACTTCCAGCTCTCACAGATGTGCCGTGATTCTCAGGCCTCGCCTGTGGAAATTGACGATGTGCAGGCGAAGGTTGTCGCTGTCTGCATTGCATTGCAAAACATAGGCAACTTCGATCCACTTGCTGACAGCTTTACAGACTGCTTCATAAAGGAATGTACAAATGTGCTTAGGATTGTATTCGAGGATACGTTTTGTGCTGTTTTTGGTTGCGTCACGTCATTTTATTGTTTTGCCTCATAAAAAGATAACCTTCTAAGGTTGCTGCTGGAAAAGTAGACGTTTTGGAGAAAGTAGGTTCAATAAATGGTGGCATTGAAAAGCTTTATTTAACATCACAAGTTCCACAGTCCGGCGCCAGTGTTATATATGTAACAATAGAAAAAGGAGGTGAAGGCAATCATTAAACTTTTAGGCTAGAAATAAACATTAAACAATGCCCTGCTACATTATTCGACGAGATAGCAGGTGTTTGCGAATGTAGATGCCGCAATTATTTGTCTTGCCAGGTACACAACTCATAAATTGAGTTATTTGTCTGTAGTCGTGGGAAAAGTCACTTGCAGGAAGTTGTGAAATATACACGGTCCAATAACCTTTATTGACCCATGTTGTTTGCAGCCGCTGCTTATGCACGCTGAACTGACTGGTTTTGTAATTCTAAGCTCACGAGAAAATCGGCGTTATATCAGGATCGCGCTCACCATACCGAATCATGCTATTTGCTAACCAATTTTTTTCGCGACCTCTTCAGCCCAGCTAATTTTGCCATCATTTACCATATCATTTATCCATGACGTCATTGTATGTAAACAAGCTACAAGTACTTACACGTATCATGTATGTGCGAGTACCGGTGTCGTGGATTAGTAGACACACTGCGAGCAACAAGGGCTACCCGGTGCCTGGACGGGGGTCGGTCACCAGTCCAAGAGCGGACCAAACCCACGGGGGTCATTGATTTCCAATGAACCTGCCGACTACCATTACTGACGCGGCCGCAGCCAGGTGGTCGATCGCGTGTCCTGCTCGCATTCGCCGCGAAAGCATGTCTCATTGACGACATTGGCTGGTTTACTCGGAGGTGCATTGTCAAGGAGGTCATCGTTCAAACGCGTACAGTGCTGAGTAGGCTCGTTGGGGCTGAATGGATGTGCTCGGACACGATGGGTACTGGGTAGTGCTGGGCAGAGAAAGGAGCAGCGGTTCCTGTATTGCGCAGGGATATGCCAATAATAACCAAAAATAGAGGCTCGGAATTGAATTGAATTACTTAATCTAGAATGATAGTTGGAGTGAAAGAACATTTTTTAAGACTTTGAGATAATAGAAAATGGTAAATGACTGAACTGGATCATGGGAGATAATTTTTTTTAGCAAAAATTGGCATGGCAGATGTTTTCTAAAAAAAATTAAAACGGCACAGGTATCGAACGAATGATATGGTGCTTAAAAAGGATTTCAACTTACAGAACATCTTGTCGCAACAGAGCTGCTGATTTCGATACGATTGACTTTGATCTGAAATTTGAGGATTTACTTCACCTGACATTTGTTATGCGTCTGCAATTGAAATAGCGAAAGTCAACGTCTGCTAGTTCCGACTAGCTCGATGTACAGCCCACCGCTAAAGTAATGTAGGGTTTTACCAATCTCAATGGTTGGCTTTGACTGGCGATTGTTTTAATGCGGAGTGATCGAAAAGAAGATGTCAATAGCTAAAGTTGCAGCTGCAAGGGTGACGATACATATAAGCTACATTCAAAGTTTCATTGTAGTCTGGTTAATCGTTCCTAAGCTTCAGAAGCAGAACATACCCATGACTGAAACCCCACATTACTTCTGCTGTGGACTGTACCGTAAAAGCATAAAATTGCGCTACCAAAAATAGCCAATACATTGCATCGGGTTTTGACTGACGTCACCCAAGAACATTTGCAATAACTCCTGTTCAATAAGTCATGGCACATAGCTTCTTCCCAGCACCTATTTAAGAAGACCGATCAATGAGTGCTGGGGTAATATTAGAAAACCCACCATTTTCTGCCAAGAAAACCAAGTAAACCTGACAGGTAGGCTGTGCCGCCGTACTCACGAGTTAAGCGGCACAGCCTACCAAGCACCAGCAGCAGTTTGCAACGCCTGCTCTACGGTAAGCGCTGAACTAGATCACCATTCACAAATCCTCACAAGACGCACACACAAATGAGGTATCGAGGTAAAAACGCCATTTTAAAGCTGTCATACATATACCTAGCTGTCACTTGTCACCTTTGTCCGTCGGTAAGCTCATAAATGTCTAGGAGCTTGGGGAGCCGTGGTAACAGATGTGTTGTTGCCACCTGCTCAGCCGAATGCCGACACTAGAAACTCAGACGCATCGATGATCGAAGAGAGAAAGAACGTTCAAACTTTCCCCATCTCTTGCTGTGGTGCGCCGAACTATGGCGGTGACGGGAGTCTGCTCCCTACACTGTACCGGAACCGTTCGCATCTGAACAAAGAACCAGCGCGCCCGTGTTATCGGGACTCGCGTTTCGTCGCTCCGTCCAACTCACCTGTCTCTATTGATCTCACGGGGAGCGGTCGGAGCGGCTGCTCTCCGCGGGGAGGCCCGCGGGGCGGTGGTCGCACGCGCAGCACGCACACCGGCGTTCATAATTCAGACAGCAGTGGGTGAATGTACTTACAGGTGTGGCGTGAATGTTCTGTATGAGTGAATGCGTGTGCGCCTTGTTAAAAAGGGAGTGCTGTCTGTAAAGAACTCCTCGTGAGAAAACGCGCACAATCTTTTAGCTATTGTCATCTTGTCTCTAGATTGGCTCATCCACATCCTTGCATCGGCACGACGGCAAACCATGAATGATTACATGTGAATCTGAAATGCCGTTTTAGACATGCTACTTGTGATGCTGTTAACAAATTATTTATCAATAACAACGTGTGTTACGATGCTTGACAATGCAAAGGATTCATCTATATACATAGTTCATAGGTGCAATAAAGACGCTACAACACCTCAATAGCTAAAGTGGTCTTTGTCTTTTACAAGCGTAATGAATGACTCAATCGTCCGTGCTGAAGCTGTTTCAGGCTGCTCCATTTTCCCGTCTTACCCGCGCTCAATATTTAATCAACGGCTAACTACTTTTGAGAAGTGCACGTGAAATTGCCATTACCACTGAGGCGTCACTCCCCGTGCGCCGGCCGCCGAGGTGGCGATGGCGTGCCAAAGTTGGCGCTCGCGGCGAACGCGGCGCAACTTACACGGCAGCTACTGTCAATGATTTATTGTGGACGGTTGCTGCGTGTCAGGTGCTGAGCTGAGCTGGACGATATGTGTGCTACATTGTTTTACTCTGCTAGATCACTAATGGAGACGTGAACGCTTACTGGAATTGGACATGCCAAAGTGCCATGGGAAACAATTCATTCGTTCGGCCAAAGACCCAAAGACACAGTTACAGTACATTTCACTCAATTCCATATCCATAAACGATGCTAAATTAAGAAACCGAAATGTTGTTCCATCCGAATGATATGTTTTATGTGATATGTATCGGCATTTGTTATGATATTCATGCCCTTTCTTGTTGCGCGCTCCATCAGCCAATGTGTTCATCTAACGCCACTGATTCTGCGTGCTCTGACGTCACCGGTTCTGCCTCGTCTGACGTCACTGGGTGTCTCTGTTTCAGCGCGGCGCTGCCGACCCACCGAGCCGTTCCTCTGCCCCGGTGGCGACGTGTGCATATCGATAGCGTACCTGTGTGACGGAGCGCCCGACTGTCCCGACAGCTATGATGAAGATAACAAGCTCTGCACGGCAGGTTAGTCAAGGCGCTGTGTGTGTGACACTCATATGACGTCACTGGAGTCTGTCACTGACACTGCGTGCTCCAGCAGGGACGCAACGACCGGCGGCGGCATATGTTGCAAGTAGGCCCAAAAGCCCCAAAAAGTTTGCTTGTTAGCTTCAGTTGGCTAAACGTAGTTGTAACTTGAAGTTCTCGGAATATGCACTATGAGTCATCGAGCTAATTGGCCTGATGATGTCCCCGTTGGTTCATTGCAAAGCTCAAACAATGCCTCCAAGCTGTTATTTCACTTTGCGTCTCCGAATCAATGAAATTGTATTTGGTTTATTTACCGTGGGTAAACTCCGTAGTTCAGTTTCACGAGCCGTGTTTGAACAGCGAAAATTACCTCAGCCCGCGCGCTCGACCGCCTGAAGCGGCATGTTTGCGCTTTTAACTCGGTCCAACGGATGAAGCTAGTGGCTTGTCAGACAGTTTGCGATTTACGGTCGTGCCGTCTCCGTGAATCTGAGACGTGTTCAAAGCCGGCGACGTGGCATCATCAGCCAACGACTGTCTATATTGTCGCCACGTCTTCCGCGCCATTTCGCCGATGGCCACCGGAATACCAAACAGGGCTGGAACGGAGCCGGCGTCTTCTTCAAACAAACTGCGATCGTCTGCGCGTCAACTACCACGGAAGACGGGAAAGGCCGACTTAGAACGAGGGCTAGCTGAAAAAGAACTACAGGACTAGCGGGTCGAAAAGTCACCACGCAATCTTAATACTTAGAAGAATCAGTGAAACAAAAGTGAAAACCATTGCCTCCCTCCACCCCTCAGTTCCCAGCACTTTCCGCTGCCTTCCGTAAGTCCGTCAGTGACGCCGACTCGAGCAGTGGTGCCCAGAAGTCAAGCCCCCGTCGCCTGTTGACTCGCTAACCCGAGCCTCTCCGGAAGATTAACTTCCTCGCTTCAGTGCCGCCGTGTTATCGCGGCTCGCTACTGGCCTGTCAGACCAGCCAGCCGGCAGAAAGACGTCTCTGTTGCGCGGCAATTCGCCGCCGGCCACGACAGCGGAAGGCGATGATGTTTTTGGGAACGGAGGCTGCGAGCATGTTGGAAAAGTGCCGCGGTCAAAATAAAGTAAACGACTGACCCGAATGTAGAAAGTTATACGAGTGTCTACTGCATACAGCACGCATCAAACCGTATGACCAAGTTTTGAGAAATGATCGATATAGAAATCGTTTAATACACTGTAAAAAAAGTTTACCAACTAGTTAGTTATCCGGCCACTTTTCACTAACCATAGGCGTGTAAGCAAAACACGCATTTCATGACTAAGTGTGTTTTCAATTACACGCAAAAGGTTGAATAGCGTGTTTTGAAACACACCTCCTAGTTTTCGAATATTTGCCAGGTTACTAAGATAAGCCGTGTAAGCGTGTTTATTGACTATCATCGGTGTGTTTTGTTAATAACTACAGACGTGTTAGGTAACACATGTGTTTGTCACACGGCCACTTTTCACTAGCTATATGCGTGTACGCAAAACACACATATTGCGTGTTAGCTAACTAAGCTGTGCGTGTTAATAAACTAAATGCATTTTTGAGAACAGGCGTGTAACTTAACTAATGTGCGTGTTAGTCACCTCTTTTCACAGCCGCCCCCCCCCCAAAAAAAAACGAATCGAATTAAACTCATCAAACATGTTTATTCAAAACTGCATTCAAGCTCCTTTCAGCAAGCTTACAACTGCATACAGTAATATTTCTCTTATTGTACTACAAATGAACCTAAAAAAGTAATCTTCTGTAGGAAACTGCCGAGCGGCAAAGGCGCTCCGTTCTAAAGTTACGTTCTAAGCTATATATAGCCTGCAGGAATCCGCACCAGCCATGACACCATACAGGCTCCAAATACCTATTACGAAAACATTGAGAGTGCTTCATTTCTGTCGATATGGGCAAACTAAATTGCAACAAAAGGGCAAAAATTCCCTGACCGAACAATGGTGGCTCATGTGTCTACAAAAAAAAATTATTTGACAACATGGCTGCAGTGACAGGAATTGCATAAAACAGCACCTCACTGCGTTCACTGGTTGAGTGCCCAACCAAAAATTAGGTACATTTAATTTCTTGTTCAAAGCTTAATGCGGTTTTAGTGTGCAACATGCTCATTGTTCAGTCCGTCATATGTACTTATAGACGTCAATTGACAGTCAACAAATGAACAGTGTCTCCAACCTGAGACCCTCTAAAGCCTGGTTGGAGCTTCATTTGAAAAGAAAATGAGTGACATACATAAACCACACTAAAACGCCAGCAATATCTCCACTGATCTTTCCCATAATCACTCACCATACCAGTAAGGATGAAAGCCATGTCCAACAATCCATATCATTTCACTGTTTGACTTCTTATTATTCTTATTCGGGTTATGTATCACCACAGTATCACCACTTCTGCATCCCACAGCAGCTCCTTATACTGCACACGCAACACTTATACGCCACAGCTCAGCTCCTTCACAACGCACGCGTCCTCTCCCCTCTCTGACTTGGCACAGACTGAACAATGGCGGGCGCAGAGGGGCGCACAAAATGGCGATTTTTTTTTCAATTAACTAAGGTCTTTGTAATGCTACAACAAAAAGAGTAGTAAGAAAACTAAGATTGTGAGTAACAACATGCGTTTGATTTGTTAGTTAACACGTTACCCAGAAAAAAAGGCAAAGGAAGCATAAACAAACATGTTTGTCAAATAGCACGGCATGGTTTGCACGGATAATATTTGTCGGCTTACAATGATGTTAGCTTTTCTGCTTCGATGAAATGGATGTGGTGTTAGGTTGCAAACATATGTGTTACCTGACCCATTTTTTGCAACAACGTGTGTTTTAATACTAGATTTTGCTTGAAGAATTAACTAACTGGTTTGTTAGCATTTTTTACAGTGTAGTTCAAAAACAGTTTTGCGTACAGTCAACATTTCAGTCCCATTAGGCTTGCCAGCCATGTCATGTCCAGTGTCCAGTGCTGAACGCTTGGTTGGCATTCACTGTGACCTGCCGTGAATGCTGTGTTCGAGTTACCCTAAACCGAAATGAGTATAAGGCCTGCCGTGGTCCGTTCGGCCGTGTTTGACCTACCGTGATCCACCGTGATGTCTGTTCTGCCGTAACCACCCTTCCTGTTCTGCCGTGAGTGCTATGTCTGTTCCGCCGTGAGCGCTATGTCTGCTCTGCCGTGCGCGCGTTGCCTGTTCTGTGCTCGCCCTCGCTGCACTGGGCCCCGGGTCGGTCCCGGCGGGCCGCACCACACCGCCGCGTCACCGCCGGTGGACATTTATTGCCGCCCAGATGGAGACAAATGTCGCTCAGCTTTACCGGCGATCGACTCCGCCCCCCCTGACCGGCCAAGTGGGGCGAACAGCGAGCCATAGACCGCCGGACCACCGATCCGCGACCGATACCGCATTGTCGGTCAAAATGCAACGCAGCAGCCGAGGCAGCGATAACCGCCTACTGAGTAGCGCTAGAATTAGACGAAATCGATGCGAGATTTGTGATGTGATAAATGTGCAGTCGCCAAAAGACACCAAGTTATATGTAGAACTGACATTTTGAATAAGTGTCCCAATGCATTGTCTGAAACTGTGGACAGCCTTCCAAGATCGGCATAATGTATGCTGATCCACGTATTTATGGCTGATTTGCATTATTCATTCGCATTATTTGGATAGCAAGGAGAAACGTGCGGTCTTTTCGATACCCTTCATCGGAGACCACTTTACGCGGCTGCAACAGGCGCCACAAAGGCATTGGGGTACAACAGGATGAGGCCGACCAAGTCCACAGTCTCATGCGTCACGTGGTTATGTAACCTGTCAGCATAAGGAGTGGAGGTTGGTGTAAGCCAGCCTGCTGCCGTACTCGTTTACTCTGGCCCAGACATCCGTCAGCCGCCGCCAGTGTTGGACTGTGATTAGCCGCTCTACTATAGCCTTTCCAGTTCCCTCCACCTCTGCAGAGGTGGAGGGACATGGGACCTGGGATCACAGGTCCCATGGGACCTGTGATACAGTGTTTTGTTTTCCAGCCGGATGGTGCCATGATTATTATCATGACTTATTGATAATGACCAATGGGTGTCAGTAGCTTGACTGATACATTCATGCTGTCTTCTCATGACCCTGGGCCTGCATACATGTATTGTAATTCGTGTCTTCTGATTCATACCAATGCCTACCAATCCGATACAAGGCCATCGTTTCCCCCGGATCGACGAGGCTGTGCCCAGTTTCCACACACGATTGTCTGCACCTTTTCCGTACTACGGACACTACCGGCTCCCCACATTGATACCACCGTTTCCGATACATACACCACTGTTTTCCTTCACTTACTCCACCGTTTATCCTACACTGCTGATACCGCCTTTTCCCATACTGACGTTGCCGGTACTGATGTTACCCGTATCACCGTTTCCCACACTGACCTCACCGTTTCCCCTACACTGATACCGCTGTTTCCCGTACTGACGCCACCGTTTCCCTACACTGACGCCACCGTTTCCCTACACTGACGCCACCGTTTCCCGTACTGACGCCACCGTTTCCCGTACTGACGCCACCGTGGCGTTTCCCATACTGACGCCACCGTTTCCCGTACCGACGTCACCGTTTCCCTACACTGACGACACCGTTTCCCATACTGACGTTACCGTTTCCCGTACTGACGCCACCGTTTCCCTCGCCAGCGCGGCGGCCGCCGGTGGAGGAGACGGCCAGTTTCCTGAAGTCGCTGCTCGCCAGCCATGGTCCCAACTACTTGGAGAAGCTGTTTGGCAGCAAGGCCCGGGACGCCCTGTTGCCGCTCGGCGGAGTGGAGGCGGTGGCTGTCGCACTGTCAGGTCAGTGGTGCACTGAAAATCGGCAGTATCCATATAAGTGCATGTATGGCCTAAACTTTTGAATTCATTTTAAAAGAGATAAAACGCAAAAATTACCCAACGTTTCGCATTTATTGCTTAGTCATGGGTGTTAGAGTGCCCAGTTAGACTGAGCAATAAATGCGAAACGTTGGGTAATTTTTGCGTTTTATCTCTTTTAAAATGAATTCAAAAGTTTAGGCCATACATGCACTTATATGTCACATCTGTCATTTGATAATCCTCAAATCGGCAGTAGACTCGCACTGTGGTTCCCAGTTGGTGCGGCTAGACGCGGTTATAATGCATTGCGACTTGTTTATTTGGATTGTAAATGCAGAGCTGATGCATCAGCTGTACAACATGCACACTTCTCACCTCAAGAGGACAAAAATAAATATACAAATGTTAGCTGCATTGTCAGTACCTAATGAAAGAAAGACGATAGTGTATAAATGCACGAATGTGGGATCGCTGAGGCCATTAACGAATATTTACAACATAAGGGTTGGAATTCAGTACTCGGTAGTTTCAAAAACGGCAATTACCGTCAGCTGAGAACCTCTCAGTGTTTTTACAACAGGCGCGCTCACCAGCGCCTCTCGGCACCTGCAGTCACCCGAGTCGCTGCTGCCGGGCCGGCCAGGCGGCGCGGTACAGACCCAATCACCCGCGACGCTCGCAATGTCGGTCGAACGCTGTCCGTGCGCCCTCCGGGAAATGCGGCCAAAGTGAAATGGTGTGTGCTCCGTGCCGCTCTGGGCCGGCGCACATCGCCCGGTGGTGGGGACAGTGGGCCTCAGGGACCACCGGCTGTATACTGTTGAGAGAGCGTAAAATAGTACCTATTCGAATAACGCGACAAGGAAACACATTTTTATTAGATAGGTAAATTTTTTGGCTCGTATGCGTCAAGTGGACTCGGTATTTGCACTTTATTCAACCGCGCTAATATCAATGTTGCAGGTGTTGTTCTCCGAGATCAGCTAAATTATTGCCCCGAGAGACTTTAAAAAAGCTGAAAAACCTAAAAGCCCAAAATTGCTCATGAACCAGCCGCAAGAAAAGATCCCTAACCGCTGATGTGAAAAGATATCAACCAGCCCATGTGATGTTGTTTAGAGCAACAGTTTTTATGTCGTGGCTGTTAAACTAAATGGGCGACTCTTAGCCCTATAGCTAACCACTTTTCCGTCAACCAAACTTGTCTTGGGTCCGAAAGAACTAATTAGGTATATGAAGTTGCGGTTGTGGAATATTACTGAGCAAATGCATCAGTGCTCCACTCATGTTCTATGCGCTTATTTGCCATTAGCATAGGTGTAATGACGTCATAGGCCCGGCGCCGTCCGATTCTATGGGATGGGATAAGGAGTGACGTTGATCCTGCGACAGTCTGACAGTAGTTCTCTATATACCGTGCTGACAGTGAGTCTGCCATCCACTGAGCCGTCCCCACGGGCCAGCTGGAAGATCCTACTAGTTGATAGAGCGCAGCTAGGTAAAAGCTTTGTGTAGTTTCTCCCAATTACGGGGAAAATAGTCTTGTCCAGAAGCATAGGCCAAAACTTTCTTTGTCGCTGACGCTCGTATATGAAGTGAATAGTGTTCCACAAGCGGAGTAACTTATCGAGATGGAAATATGAACTGAAAGTTAAAATATAGCTAAAGCTGTTCATTTGATCTAGTGGTGCACAAGCGATCTCGATTATATGACTCGAAAAGATGTAGTTGAATAAGGAACAAATATTATCAATGAATAAAATAGGTACGTCAGTGTCTTACATTTAACGACACGCTTTTATTGCAACGAGCAGATTATTGCATTATACAATACTCAAGGGCCATTGTTACTGAGTTTTTAAGACTCAATACACAATCGCTCATACCTGATCCATTTATGAATTAAATACGACTCCAAAGATTTAGGAATAAAAACCATGGCAGATTCTCACTAAAATCCCTCTTCCCTCCTCTTGTCGGTGCCATTGTTAAAATGTAATAAAAACCGCTTATTTTTATCCGTCAGCCTATATCGCTACCCAACTCGTACCTATAACGGCTGAAAGGGTACCAATATCGCCGTAAGCTGGTCCTCACTGCGGGAAAGAGTGCCCGTGAGTCGATTTCTGGGACGCAATCACCGCAGTGTGCTCATTCAGCTCTGACCGTCGGCGAGGATCTGCCCCCCAGACTCCCGCATACGTGATCTGTGTAGAATTAGGTCCAAGACGAAAGCAGAGGAAAATAAATGGCAGGCAAGGCCAGCTTAGTGCTCTGACAACGGACCTAAGCCTCCATTAATAAGTCGGATCAGCTGGTGTGCTGCGAGGCTGCATTGTCAAAAACTAATGGGGATGCATAATATGTATTGTTTATTAATCTCACGGGACGGAGACAAACGAATGCTTGCGGCTTAAAAATTGAAAGAGCACATCAATATCCTTCGCATACAGCTATATGTACAGTATATACTGCTCAAAGCTTCGGTCATGACACATAGCCAAGTCTCATGAGCATGGATGGCGTTCGCTTTTTCTTGACGGCGCACTGAGTTGTAACGCATCGATTACCACAATTCACGAGTCGTCGTATGAAGTGTGTAACGTCAGTCTTGAAAGTACCGCGCATCGGTACAGTGGATCTTTCAAGCCTGACCGTGGAAGGGCTGCTAAATTTGAGAGTCACTGAACCAGATAATGTCCTCGTCCATCGACCATCCCCCAACTCAATTGGTTCAGTGACTCTGAAATTTGGCAACCCTTCCTCACTCGGGCTTGATGGATCCAACACACCGATGCGCGGTACATACAAGACTGACTGTACTGGATGTTCTCTCCATCATACTCACTAATGATGGGCGGTCTGTGTGTTGCAGAATCGCAGACGATCGACGACTTCGGCAGGGCGCTGCAGCTGATGACCGTCGACGTCAACCACCTGCGCTCCGTCTTCATGGCCGTCGAGAACGGAGACATGGGCACGCTGAAATCACTCGGCATCAAGGACTCGGAGCTCGGCGACGTCAAGTTCTTCTTGGACAAGCTGCTGAAGACAGGGTTCCTCGACTAGAGCCGAGAGCGGGAGCCGATTCGTGTCCAACTGCGCGCGTGCGGGCCCCGGCCGGTCGGGGCAGAGAGACCCTGATCGAGCCCGCCCTCAGCAGTCTCCGGCCGCGGCCGACGTCCAACACCGTTCCCGATCGCGCCGACAGCGGCCTCGACCTCGGCCGAAGACTAGCCGGCTGGCCGGGGACCCTGCAGCCACCTGCGCCGGCCGCGGCCCTGCGCCGGCCGCGGCTCCGCGCCCGCCCGCAGCCGCCGCGCCCCCGTCCGCGCCGGCCTCTCCTCGATAGCACCCCACTGACCACCAGCGCAGCGCCGCGCGGACGGGCCGCCCGACGCCTGGGGCGCCCTGACCCTGACCTGAGAGCGGGCAGCGGCGGCGGCCGGCGGCCGGCCCTCGCGGCAGCCGCCGGCCGGCGCCGGCCGCCCCCCCCCCCCTGTGACTCGCCCCGCCCCTGCCATCCTCTGTGGCGTGATCTCAGCTGGTCTTTGAGCCGGTCCAACCCGACCGGCGTGCTGTGAGCTCCGCGCTGACTCCATGACCTCTCGGGTCACTCCGCCTTCCGGCCAGGCGCAGCGCGAGCCGAGGCGCCCCACTCCTGTCCGTGGGGGCCCACGGCTCGACAAAACGGCTCGCAACGACACCAACCCGGTCGCTTCAAGGTGTCCTGTCTATCGCTGTTTCGGGCATGCTGATTTCGTGTGTTCATGGCGCGTTACGTTACAAATATGTAAGTAGGCTAGCTTAGTTAACCTTTCGTTAGGAATATCAGCAGCCTATAAAATCTATCTGTTGGAGGGCTGGATTGGTAAAAATAAATTGCGCAGTGACACATCATCAGTCTCATATGAACATGTTTGTGGAAAATGGCTGACGGTTGATACACGTTTGTTTCTAAGATTGGTCTATCGATATTTCAAATACGATTAAAGGAACGGCATGGTTTCTTGATAGAAAATGTAGAAAAATCATTTCGGAAAGGAAGTAACTATTTGCTGAAAGTGAAAGACTGAAGGTCAGTAGAAGAAAAATGATTTAGTTCTGGAATGAGCATAGGCAATAATATAAATCTTTTGTGTTGGAGGCCACGGGAATTGTAAGAGCTGCGAGGTAATATCTGTTTTGAATGGAGACAGTGCGATCGGAAACAATAGTGTTCGTTATCATGTATTCAGAAATATATGTTATAGATATCTTTTATCCGAGCTTTGATAACGTTGACACTCGCTAGGCTGTGTTCACGAAAGAACCATGACTATGTGTTACTGTTAGTTTTGAGGAACGCATTAGCAGTTAGTTGATTGGACAGCATAATTTTCGTCATTAATTACATAACCAATGACTAGCTCATAAACAAAACACTGACACTGTTTCCCAAGCTAAGAATATAAAACTCGTTCTTGATCCTACTACTGGAGTTACCAGTAAAATGTCTTTTGTGACAACATACGACAACATATTTGTGCCCAGCTATTTGGCATTTGCAAGCACACATCTAGCCAGTTGCTAGGGTGCAGATACAGTCGTTGCAGGATGCAGTACCGGGGCTCTCTACGAATATCCACCGGTTACCGTGTAGTTCAACAGCAGCCGCCCGGTTCCGTTAGTCTATCCACGTCGTATGACACCACCACTGGTCCGGCCTGAAGTCTAGGTGACTGGACTGATCTGTGAGTGTGAGCTTACTGACTGGTCCGGCCTGAAGTCTAGGCTGATGGACCGCCGATGAATTAGATAGTAATAATCTTATATTTATCCTGGATTAAACATCAGCTTATCCATAAACCGCCCGTGACGAAAGACTGCGTGGCTTATACCAAACTTTCTTATTCTAAGCCAAGTGCATTCAAACTGTGACTTGACTGACTGAATTGAGCTGTGAGCCAACTGACTGGTCCGGCCTGTGGTCTAGGTGACTGGACTGATCTGTGAGCTGTGAGCCAACTGACTGGTCCGGCCTGTGGTCTGGGTGACTGGACTGATCTGTGAGCTGTGAGCCAACTGACTGGTCCGGCCTGTGGTCTGGGTGACTGGACTGATCTGTGAGCTGTGAGCTAACTGACTGGTCCGGCCTGTTGTCTAGGTGACTGAACTGATCTGTGAGCTGTGAGCTAACTGACTGGTCCGGCCTGTAGTCTAGGTGACTGGACTGATCTGTGAGCTGTGAGCTAACTGACCCGTCCGGCCTGTTGTCTAGGTGACTGGACTGATCTGTGAGCTGTGAGCTAACTGACTGGTCCGGCCTGTAGTCTAGGTGACTGGACTGATCTGTGAGCTGTGAGCTAACTGACTGGTCCGGCCTGAAGTCTAGGTGACTGGACTGATCTGTGAGCTGTGAGCTAACTGACTGGCCCGGCCTGAAGTCTAGGTGACTGGACTGATCTGTGAGCTGTGAGCTAACTGACTGGTCCGGCCTGAAGTCTAGGTGACTGGACTGATCTGTGAGCTGTGAGCCAACTGACCAGTCCGGTCTGTGGTCTGGGTGGCATCGCCCCGGCATGGCAGGTCGCCGACACCCCCCCCCCCCCATCCCCCTGACCGCGGACGCGATCCCTCGAGACGGACAGCAATCATATCGGGCAGCGGCCGTATGATTAGAACCAACACGAGCCGACGGCGCCGCTAAGGCGAAATAAAACCAGAAACTGGCTGCGCTGAGGAAACGCGCCCCCAACGCCATGAACGCAGCGCGATGCCATGAGGCATCTCATATCTTAAAATCACAGGCGGCGGAATGAGGGGGGGGGGGGCGGGGCACCGTGCCCCCTTTGATTTTGGCATTTTTTAAACATTAGCCCTATGGGCTTTGCATGGAAAGAATGGGACGAAAAGTCGGCAGTGCCCCCCCCCCCCTTAATTGAAGGTGTTCCGCCGCCACTGCTTAAAATCCATTTCGATTTTCAGATGCTATTTATTTCTTGTTATACGTGTGCTTTGGGAGTCAGCTCCAACCATATTTTACCAGCAGTGAATGAAGTATGTACAGTCCACAGCAGAAGTAATGTGCGGTTTCAGTCATGGGTATGTTCTGCTTCTGAAGCTTAGGAACGATTAACCAGACTACAATGAAACTTTGAATGTAGCTTATATGTATCGTCACCCTTGCAGCTGCAGCTTTAGCTATTGACATCTTCTTTTCGATCACTCCGCATTAAACAATCGCCAGTCAAAGCCAACCGTTGAAATTGGTAAAACCCTACATTACTTTAGCAGTGGGCTGTACCTTACTGTTTCTGATTGAAAAAAAAACATTTATAGCTTTTTCGCGAGTCAACTCAACTACAAGCACTCATGCATGCATGCAAGCAATGTTACGCCAGCAATCTTCATATTCCCTCAGGGCAGCTATACATGCAATATGTGTTCCGTCTTGGTTGTGCCGGCACATGGCACCAATCATCCTGAAGCCCCACGGAACATTCCCAATCAATGACTGCTCACTGCGGACAAGTGTTCCTAATCTGCTTTGGAGTAGAAAAAAATACAATGGTACCCACGGCATCGTAATCGTGCTTCGGCTTCTGTGGCACATCAGCTGCACTGAAACCGCAATTCGATGTAAATGATAAAAATCGATTGTAGGCAGCTTACGGTCATTTGCTGTGGCCACCAACATACCTTCACATTACATAATGCATATGTCATCCAGGAACAGGTTTGATGGGCATTCAACACAAGGGCAAAGGCGCAGCTTATGCCTTATGGGTGACTTTCGCCGGCTTCCGCGGACGTTTTCTGTGGCGATGTTATAGTTTCAATAATTTGCGAGTTTTGAGGCAATTAGTCCATCAACGTCAGAATCAGTAAATGTTGACCATAAATGAACTCTGGTGACCTTACCTTCACTTTGATCTAGAAAATAATCTAGGATCTACTTTCTTAACCCGCGCCTTGATGGGGGGGTTAAGACCCCTGTGGCTTTTCTTAAATAGCGAGAATACGGCGGCGCGGAGCCAAATTTTAAGTACCTTCCCGGGCACCAATTTGACACATTCACACAAAATTTCAAGTCACAGATCACCTTGGGTCAAGAGTTATTGAGGTCAAACTGAGGTCATGTTCGAGTAAAAATGAGCAAAAAACATGATATCTGAAAACGCTCACCAAATCTACAGTTAACAACCAATTTTAAAGTTCTTTATGTGGTTGTGTCGAGAAAAGACGGCGCTACAAAACTGCTATCTCGAATTTTCAAAATGTTGGTATTTTAACCCCCAAAAATAAATAAAAATTGATTTTTTTCTTAGAAAAACTAAAAAAATCCAAAAAATCAAATTTCGATAAAACCGGAATACATGTGATAGTCCCTGCGCTCTTCGATATACATGCCAAATTTTAGATCGATGCCCCTTTTTTGGCCAAGTTAGAGAAAAAACTGTTCAAAATTGATGACGTCAAATTTTTGAACTCACTTTTTAGCAATTCTAGACTACGTAGCGCAAAACGAAGACCACCATTGAACTCCCCGTGACGAGCTGCATCGAATCAATGCCCATTTTATGCAAAAATATCAACTTTGAAATTTGACCTAATTTGACCTGACCTTGACCTGACCTTCACCAAAACATAAGCTCAACTGACCTGATGGGCTGCCTGTCCCACATAATCGCATTTGGCATATAAAATGGACCATAAAATATACCTATATATATACATCACATGATATTTTTATACATTCAAGGCCAGTACACATTCAGCTGCTGTGCTGTTGTCAGCCGAGAATCACTCACACTATTGGCTGAAAAATTGATGACGTTATGTTGCACATGCAACATGACGTCACCTCTCTGCTGCCGGCAGCATGGGCTGACGGGCTGTGCTGCTACGAGAAAGCAAGTGCAGAGATGCCGAGCCGTCAGCAAAAGCCATAAATGACGCATTTAGACACTGGTAGTGGCGCATGAAAGCAAATCACGTGCCAGATTTTTATTGAGCACTGCAGATAAAATGAAATTTGGACACCATGTTGGCGCTATTCACATATATTTGGTTTCATAATAAATTGTCGATACAAGAAAAATAGTTATTACTTTCGCACATTGTCAGTAAATATTTTGATAATATATCTAACTGCTTAAGTATTGTATTAATAAAGAACATGAAGATGAGACGAAATATTTGTTTACAACGCCATATTTGTAAACAGTCAGCCAGTGCTGACATTTCTCATCAGGGACGCCGGTGAAAACAGGGCGCCGGAGGGCATATTAGTCACGTGACATTTGGAACTTCTCCCGCTCCATGGGCCTTCCATGTGCCAAACGTCACGTGTAAATTTCACGAACCTTGATCAAATCGCCCCAGGCGCCCTGTTTTCACCGTCGTCCCTCATCAGCCAAATGTATACAGTTCCGTCAGCCAGAAGCGGTGGGCGGAGCCTATTTCAGCTGACAACAGCACAACAGCTGAATGTGTACAGGCCTATATTGTGACCCTCAGCAGGGCTGCGGAGTCGGAGTCGGAGTCGGAGTCGGAGTCGGTCGGAGTCGACAGTTGTGACCGGAGTCGGAGTCGGAGTCGGAGTCGGAGTTGGTCGGAGTCGACAGTTGTGACCGGAGTCGGAGTCGGAGTCGGAGTCGGAGTCGGTCGGAGTCGACAGTTGTGACCGGAGTCGGAGTCGGAGTCGGAGTCGATTTTAGAAACCCGAGCCGGAGTCGGAGTCGGAGTCACCGAAAATCAGTCGACTCCGCAGCCCTGCTAGGTCTGCGGAGTCGGAGTCGGGAGTTGGAGTCGGTCGGAGTCGACAATTCTGCCCGGAGTCGGAGTCGGAGTCGGAGCTGGTTTTTGAAAGCCGGAGTCGGAGTCGGAGTTGGAGTCGCCGAAAATCCATGGACTCCGCAGCCCTGACCCTCAGTGACCTGACCTCTGTGACCTGACCTGGTATAAGTGACCTCAAATAGCAAAATGTATGTTTGACGGACATTTCCCCATCGATGATTTTCAATTAAATGCATTTTACTCGATTTTACAATGCATTTCTTGAAATGCCTGTACCAGTGTACCTAAACGGTGAAAATTCGACCCTTGACCTGACCTGTGACGTCATCGGTTGGACCGAGGTCAAAGAAACTGGGTCACAAGGTAGTTCCCCGTTGGGGCTATCCAACGCCGTTTGCCGCTTGTCGCTATGTTGCGTGGTTCTCAAGATCTTGGGGGGCCAAAATGCCCGCCCCATCAGACCGCGTTGCTCGGCAGACC